ACTCTCATTATCCGATAGGTTCCTTTTCATTTATCGTTGTTGTTTTCATGTTTTTTCAAACCTTTAATTGTTTAGCACTTTTTTGATAATATGTATTTTGTTCGCTTTTCTATTCTAGGAATTATGTTTTATTTCTTTTTTTTATTACCTTTCTATTAAATTGTTATATGTTGGAAAGAAAGTTGAAATATTTGGAGGAGAGCAAAAGGACAAAGTATGGAAGAATATTAGGAGTTTGTAGCATGTAAAAGTGATTAATAGAACGTAGAATTCAAAGAGGTTTAGGCCATAGGGCTCGGGGATTAGAGCTTTAGGTGTTTTGGGTTATGGTTTAGGGGTTTAGGTGTTAGAGGTTAGGGGTAGGGGTTACTCGAATAAGGGCTAAGAGTTAAGGTTTAAAGGCTTAGGGGATAAGGATTTGGGTTAGTGTTTTTTTGCTTCTTTGCTCCACTAGCTCATCATTCTTCTCCTATTTTTGTCTCTTATTATTTTTTGTTGTTGTTCTTTAGATTTTCATATTTATGTGCGTGACAAATCTATTTTGTGTTTTAATTTCAGTTGTTTGTAGAATGGATGTTTGCTTTTGAAAGATTAAGAAGAGTTGAAGGAGATAAGTTTGCAAGGCGAGCTTATGATTGAAAAGATAAGTATATCTATTCGTCCTAGATCCATTGACTTTCTTTTATATGTAAATTATGCTTTACACTTGACTATTTCTACTTGTTTTTGTGTTTCTTGTTTGTTATGATCATTCTTTCTATTATTTTCATCTCCCAACCCTCTCATTTTCCGATTGATTTCTTTTCATTTTTGATTGTTGTTTTCATGTTTTTGCTAACCATTAATTGATTAGCATTTCTTTGATAATATGTATTTTGTTCGTTTTTCTATTAAATAAATTATGTTTTATTTTATTTTATTTTTCTATTATCTTTCTATTAAGTTGTTATATGTTGGAAACAATGTTAAATTATTTGGAGGGGAGCAAAAGGATAAATCATGGAAGAACATTAGGAGTTTGCAAAGGGAGCTTATGATTGAAAAGATAAATATATCAATTCGTCCTAGATCCATTGACTTTCTTTTCTATGTAAAATATGTTTTGCACTTGACTATTTCTACTTGTTTTGTGTTTTTTGTTTATTACGGGCATTCTTTCTATTATTTTCATCCTCCAACATTCTCATTATCCGATAGGTTTTTTTTCATTTTTCGTTGTTGTTTTCATGTTTTTCCTAACCTTTAATTGCTTAGCATTTCTTTGATAATATGTATTTTGTTCTCTTTTCTATTATAGAAATTTTGTTGAACAGCAGAAGGCACAAAAGTGGCATTAATCCAGTTGAACAGCAGCTGAAATTCCAGCTGTAATCAGGTGAACAGACGCATGAAAAGCAGCTGCAAAGGGTGAGAGCAGAGGCAGCTGAAATTCATCAGAAAAGGCAGCAGTAACACCATAAGAGAAAGCAGCTGGGATCCCGCTGAAAGCCAGTTAATTCAGAGCAGCCGCTGGAACCGAGGAAAGAAACAAAAAAATAGCTGAAAAAAATCAGCTGCAGCAGCATCTGGACTGTTCACGTGAACAGTCCCCTTCTGATCAGAACCCACACACAGCCCCCAGCACTCCTTCATTGCAAAACCAAAAAAACAGTAGAGAGGCCAGCTGAGTGGCTCATACAAGCAAGAAACCAATTGGAAAACCAGCTGGAAAACAAGAAGATTCAGCAGTGCAGCAACCGGACTGCTCACGTGAGCAGTGGACTTGGACAGAGAAGAAATGCTGCTGAACAGAACCGTGAAATACCAACATCTGAGAGGAAGCCAATAAATGCCAACATGATACAGCAGAAGGCGTAAAAGTAACAATAAATCTCAGCTAGGAGCAGCTGAAGTCCCAGCTGAAAACCAACTGTGTTCCAGTCAATAAACCAACTGAGATCAGCTGGAAGAGACAATCTGCAGCAATCGCGAAGCAGTTCACATGAACAGTGCATCCAGACAACAAGCAGCAGAAAAGCAACATGAGAACCCCCACAACAGCATTAAAGAAACAGATGTTGCCTGAAAAACCAGCAGGAACAAGGGAAACCAGCAGAGTCCTCCAAACTGAAAGCACCACATCACAGAGAGAACCAGTTGGAAAGAAAATCAGCTGACTAGAGCAAAACCAGCTAAACAGTCCAATGACCATAAACCATGGCAGCCTTAGCAAAAGCCCCATCATGTGAAATGGATCCATAATATAGGTAAAAAATCACAAAAATGGCGCACTTTTTCCTTGGCGTTTTAACACCTTGTTGATCCTGCATCTGGATTAATTTAGCCCGGAGAGGAATCTTTAAATCAAGTGTGAAATCCGAAGAGGTACCCTCCAAAACAGCAAATCACAAATTCTCCAAAACTTCCAGGCCCTCATGTGCCCTTTCATTATCATTTGAACCATCATGGCCGAATCAGTTTCAATCTGAAGATTATAATTTAGAAGTCCATAACTTCTAAATAGCAATAAACCATCCTTGAGAGCATGCAACTCAGCTTCCGTGTTGGAACACACCTCATAAAAAAAGAAGCAGCCAGAACTATGTGCCCCAAGTCATTCCTTACCACAGCTCCGCCCCCAGCTCTTCCAGGATTTCCTTTCGATGCCCCATCCACATTTAGCTTTAAAATGCCCGAAGGAGGAAGGGACCAGTTTATGCAAATAATTTTTTGTTTCAGCTCATGCCTCAGCTCTACCTTTAATGCCCTCAAGAATTCCATACCAATCATGCCTTCCTTATCTTTGGGTCTAACGCCATAAGCCTGAAGACGCAGAGTGGAGCAGATATCTAGAAACACAGCATAGGCCGAGAGTGAGCTATCTTCATAGACCCTTCTGCATCGCTCCCTCCATAATCTCCAAATTACCACCAGTGGAACACCTCTTAACAAGTTCTGACTTACAGAGTGTTTTTTAAAATTTTTGATCAGTCTCATCATACAAACCAAAGGATTCAGCGGAGAAAACCTGAAAACCACGAAATGCAGCCAGTTTCCCCCAAACCTCTTTATCAAAGTTGCATTGTATGAACAGGTGAGAAGTAGATTCCACAGCCTTGTAACGTAGAGAACATCTGCTGGCCAAATCAACACCGACCCGTTGGAAGTTTGAGTCCTCTACTACTGCTTTCTGATATATCTTCCAGCCCAGCAGTTTTGCACTTGGGAAAACCGATTGGTTCCAGATCACAGAGGTCACAGGCACAGGGACACTCGAAGCTCTCACTGCCTCCCAAGCAGACTTGACATTGGACTCTCCCGAATCAGTTAATTTCCATATCAGTCGATCTTCTTTTTCGCTTAAACAAATCATAGAATTCTGTACTTCATGCTTTAACTGTTCAGATACCTGCACCCCCAAACTTTGCCACTGCCAGCACCCATCAGCCCATAACTCATCCAGGCATGGAAAGCACGAGGGAGAAACGGCATACCTGAGCAGAAGAGGGCCAGATCCAGTCCAGTTCGAACACCAAAAGTCAACATTCTTCCCATTCCCCACCATGACCTGTGAGTTGGTCATAATCAAGCTAAAGAAAGGTTGCAGCATTCGAAATATACGCATTTTTCCAGTACCCGTGCATCGCATCAAGTGATTGCCTTTTAAGAATTTTTCTCTAAACATGTTTGCCCACAGAGAGTCGCCCTTAAGAATACCCCATGCCTGCTTCCAACGGTATGCCGTTTGGATATCTTCAAATTTACGAATCCCTAGGCCCCCCCTCTTGCTTGGGTCTTGTAATTACAGACCATGAAACCCAATGCCTTTTCCTCTCCCCCATCCTGCCTAGCCACATAAAGGAGGCCATGAGAGAATTCAACTTTGCCAGGATGCCTTTGGGCACGCTTAGACAAGCGAGCAAATGAATAGGAACAGAATTAAGGACTGATTTAATCAACACAATTCTGCCCATGTTTGAAAGTAAGCGTGCGTACCACCCTTCCATTTTGGCTTTGAATTTTAGGACCACATCCTCAAAATCCCGCAGTTTATATCTTCCTCTTATCATGGGGCATCCCAGGTAGACGAAGGGACATTGTTTTATTGGAATTTGAGCAATTCTGGATAGAGTCATTGTCCTGCCCCGAGGAATATTGGAGGAACATATGAAAGAGCTTTTATGTTTACTTATCCTCTGTCCAGAGCTATCCTTGTATCTTGCCAAAAACCTCATCAATCGTTCCATGGAAAGTTTATTACCCCTAAGAAACAGTAGAGTATCATCTGCAAAAAGCAGATGAGAGACAAGAAGTGCATTCCTCCCTGCATGAAAAGCCTTGATTCTGCCTTCACCATACAGCTTCAACAGTCCTCTACTTAAAACCTCCTCTGCCAGAATAAAGAGAGCCGGAGAAATTGGGTCACCTTGTCTCAGTCCTCTAGACGAAGGAAAGAAACCGAATCTTTTCCCATTCAAGCAGACCGAGAAAAATTGATTCTTTAAGCAGTTGCCAATGATAGAAATGAACAAGCTTGAAAAGCCAAAACAAGTCAAGGTTCTTTTCAAAAAATCCCACTCTATGCGATCGTACGCCTTCATCATATCCAGTTTAAGAATCACGTTGCCAGCCTCAACTTTCCTATCAAGCTCTACCACCATTAACTGAGCTAAAGAAATACAGTCCCCAATCCCTCTCCCTTTGACAAAACCATGCTATGCATTTGAAATCAGAGATGGAAGAAGGGAAGCAAGTCTATTGGATAGGATCTTAGTGAAGACTTTGTATAAAAAATTGCATAGACTTATGGGCCTGAACTCTGAGAAAGAACAGGGCTTCAACACTTTTGGAATCAAAACGAGGAGTGTGGGGTTGACCGATCTTGGGACCACTCCCCCACTTAAGAAAAAGTTAACCGTTTCTAACATGTCATGTTTAATAATATCCCATGCAACTTGAAAGAATCTACCAGAGAAACCATCAGTTCCAAGGGCGCTTTCCACAGATATAGAAAGCACAACCTATTTAACTTCAATTAAGGTGGCAGCCATAGTCAAATTCTCGTTGTCAGTTGGTCCAACAAGCTCAGGAATGACCCCAAATAACTCTTCATCAAGGGTATGGTTTTTAGACTTGTACAATTTAGTAAAGAAAGTGACAGCCTGATGAGAAATCTCCTCCTCAGAGCTACAAGAAAGTCACATACAAGAAAGTCATTTATTTGTTATGGGTAGAAGCGAACAATTGGTATGTGAAGGATGGAAGTAAATATAGAGATGTGGTTGAGAGAAAAGGAGGTTAGGAAACCAAAAGTTTAAAAATGGAGATGTGTATGATTAATGTCACAAATGTTTGGTATTTAAATTCAATGGTGATCTTGGCATTTTCAAAATTTTGGAGGACAAAAGTGTCTAAAAAATGTTTTTCATATATGTTGATATTTTATAGTAGTATAGATATAGATATTTTCTTAATAAAATCCGGAGTAACCTAAGTATAATTATTATGGTTTTAAACTCATGTTTCTCATTTTATGGGAAACAGGGTGTGACACACACTAGATATTGATATATGCTTAAATATTGCTTTAAATCTCGATCATTGAATATTATGATTATGTTCAAACCTTTGTTCTAGTCAAAATGAAGTCCTTGTTCAAAGTGTAAATAAAACATATATTTGTACTAGCAATGCGCCACGTGCGTTGCACGTGACTAATTTTTTTAAAAAAAATTAATAAATAATTATTTGGTATATATGTTTGAATTAAATATCATCTCAATTTTACCAAATTTATTTTTTCATTGCTCATGCTCCATTATAGAATTTTTGAAAATTTTGTATATTTTCAAGATTGGTTATTCTAACTTTAAGAAAAATGATCGGTTATTATTTGATATAACATAGTTTAAAAAGTTTACTATAACTAAAAAATTATATAAAACTATATATATATTTTTTTCTTAAAAATAAAATGTTTTTGATGAAAAATAAAATATACATACGTAGTCATAATATTATCTTTATAAATGAGATGAGTAATATTATATTAATGGAGTTTTTGAAGGTTTTTTTTTAATATTTTGTTAAAACTTATAATAATGCATATATTTTTGAAGAGTAATATAATAAGTCAAAAAGTTTCATAAAAATTGACATTTATAAATAAAGAATAAATAATTAAAAAATTAATTTGATTAAGATTTTACTTATAAATCATTTAATAAAATAAAAATAATTATCAATAAATTAATCATATTGGAACCTTACTGTATTAAGATTATCTAGGTCAATTGTGATAAAATTTAATATACAATGCTATAATCTATATAATAAAGTAGAGTTGAGTTTGAATCCAAGAGACAAAGAGTGGTTCAGATCGTTTTGAGACAAAACATAAGCACATCCGACGGACAATGTAATCTCAACATAAAAGACGGTTCAGATCATTTCAAAAATTTTGATCTAACGGTATATTGTGATTACCGAAATTAGTTTCCCCGCCCAACAAAATTCCTGTTTTAATTATAAGGGCTTTTTGCTTGACTGACGCCCCAGTCTCCTCTGATTCCCCCATATCTTCCCCTAAAATCTCTCTCAGAATCCTTCTCAATCTCATCCTCTGCCTTCCAAACTCATCCCCAAAATCTTCCCCTACTCATCCCCAAAATCTCCAAAATCTCTCATGCCCAGCTCATCCCCAAAATCTCTTACGCCGAGGTATCTCAGTAATTGCTCTAACAATTTGTCTCCTCCCTTTCTCTCTGGAGTCCAACTCCGGCGACCCAAATATTCCAACATTCACCACAACTCTCACCATGCTTTTCCTAAACCCTATTTTTTTTTTTTTGAAAAAAAGGAGGATATATTGAAATGAGCAGAAATTACAAGAAGCAAGGAAGCCGGGCTTTAACAAAAACAAGGAATAAACCATCAAAAAAAAAAGGACATAAAATGGGACATGAAGGCCAGCAAAAGCCAGCTGAGAGTCCAGCTGAAGATCCAGAAAATTCAGCTGGAGGAAAGCTGGAAACCCAAGAGACAGCAACTGCGAGATGATGAAAACCATGAGGAATGAACATAAGCCCAGAACCAACACAGCAACTGAGAGCCCGCTGAGAACAAATCCCCAGCTGACTGCCGAAGGAAGCAGCAACAGAGAAACCCACAGCAGCAGACCAATAGCCAGCGTCAAGCAGATGAAAGAACCGCTGAGAGACCATGAGAAAATCAGCAAAACCAGCTGAAGAAAAAGAGACCAGAGGTGGCCAGCAGCAGCGACAAGAAAGCTGTGCACATGAACCATTGACACCAACAAAACAGCACAGCAATCACAGCAGCAAGTGGAGCCCATAAGAACCAGCAGAGAACCACAAAGAAATCATGGAAAACCAGCTGGAAACCCGTTGAGACCAGCTGGAAATCCAGCTGAAAACCCTCTGAGCAGAACCGTGGAAAGCCTTCAATGTTTACCAAAGATAAAGTCTGATAAAACCAGCTGTAGCAACAAAATGAGCCACGATCCCCAGCTGAAATCAGCACAAAATCCAGCTGAGATCCAGAAAAAACCAGCTGAAAGAGCCCATCAGTAGCCGCAAACAGGCTGTCCATGTGAACAGTAGCGTGAACAGTGTGTCATGACCAAAAACAGTTGAAAACCATCTGAAAATCACCCACAGCAGCTGCAATATCAGTAGAGGTCAGCTGAGAAAAACCGCCAGCAGCAGGAAGCAGACTGTTCACGTGAACAGTCGCGTGAATAGTACTCCCTGACCAAAAACAGCAAAAAAGCCACCGGAATGTCCCCCCCAGCTGCATTTAATGTACAAATGTTGCCTAAGCTTCCCAGCAGGGTAAAGGAAGCAAACACACCAGCTGCGAGAAGCCAAGCAATGAGAAACAAAAGCCCCAGCCCGATTGGATGATTCATAAGTAAAAACCAAAGAATCAAAAATTAGTAAACTTTTTCCTTGACGTTTTAACACCTTGTTGATCCTGGATCTGAATTAATTTTGCCCGGAAAGGAATCTTCAAATCACGTGTGAAATCCGAAGAGGCACCCTCCAAAACAGCAAGGTTTGCAAGACAGTCAGCTAAGCAATTTGCTTCCCTGTATACATGAGCCAAACTAAAATTCATGCCCTTCAATAACTCCATGATCTCATCACAAATCTTCCAAAACTTCCGGGCCCTCATGTGCCCTTTCATCACCATTTGGACCATCACCGCTGAATTAGTTTCAATCAGAAGGCCACAGTCTAACAGCCCATAACTTCTAAACAACAATAAACCATCCTTGAGTGCATAAAGCTCAACCTCCATGTTTGAACAAACCTCATAGAAAAAAGAAGCAGCCAAGACAATGTGCCCCCATTCATTCCTTACCACAGCTCCAGCCCCAGCTCTTCCAGGATTTCCTTTCGATGCCCCATCCACATTTAGCTTTAAAAAACCGGAGGGAGGAGGGGACCAGTTAATCCAAATAATTTTTGGTTCCAGTTCCTGCCTCATCTCCACCTTTAAGGCCCTCAAAAGATCCATCCCCATCATGCCTTCCTTTGCCTTGGGACGAGTACCATAAGCCCGAAGACGCAAAGAGGAGCAAATATCAAGAAAAACAGCATGGGCCGAAAGTGAGATATCTTCATAGACTCTTCTGCATCGCTCCCTCCATAGTCTCTAAAAGACCACCAGTGAAGTACCTCTTAATAGGTTATTGCTAACAGAGTTTTTTTTTTAAATTCTGATCAACCTCATCATACGAACCATGGGAGATTCAGCCGAGAAAATCTGAAATCCACAAAAGGCAGCAAGCTTCCCCCAAACCTCTTTAGTAAAGTTGCATTGTGTGAATAGGTGAGTCGTAGTTTCCACTTCCTGATGGCATAGAGGGCATCTACTGGCCAATTCAACGCCAATACGTTGGAAATTTGAGTCCACCACCACAGCTTTCATATGTATCTTCCATCCCAGCAGTTTTGCACTTGGAAAGACAGATTGGTTCTAGATCGCAGAGGTTATAGGCACAGGGTTATTTGAAGTTCTCACCGCCTGCCAAGCTGATTTGACATTGAACTCTCCCGACTCGGTTAATTTCCATATCAATCGATCTTCTTTGCCACATAAACGAATCCCAGAGTTATGGATTTCGTGCTTTAATTGCTCAGAAATCTGGACTCCCAATAACTGCCACTACCAGTCCCCTCTTGCCCATATCGCATCTAGACTTAGAAAGCTCGAGGGGGAGACATCGTGCCTGAGCAATAAAGGGCCAGATCCTGCCCAGTTCGTGCACCAAAAATCCACAGACTTCCCGTTTCCCACCAAAACCTAGGAGTTCTCCATAACCAAGCAAAAGAAAGGTTGCAGCATTCGAAATGTACGAGCTTTTGCAGTGCCCAGACATCATAACATGTGTTTGCCTTTTAAGAATTTTGCTCTAAACATGTTCGCCCAAAGAGAGTCACCCTTTAGAATTCCCCATACCTGCTTCCATCGAAAAGCAGTTTGGATGTCCTCAAATTTACGAATTCCAAGCCCCCCTCTTGCTTGGGTCTTAAAATATCTTGAAACTCAATGCCTTTTCCTCTCCCCCATCCTGCCTGACCAAATAAAGGAGGCCATCAAAGACTTCAACTTGACCAGGATGCCTTTGGGCACCCTAAGACAAGAGAGCAAGTGAATAGGGACTGCACTGAGGACCGATTGAACCAATACAATTCTGCCCATGTTTGATAGCAAGCATGCATACCACCCTTCCAATTTAGCCTTGAATTTTAGAACCACTTCCTCAAAATCCCGGAGTTTATATCTTCCTCTAATTATGGGGCAGCCTAGGTAGGTGAAGGGGCATTGTTTAATTGGAATTTGTGCAATTTTGGAAAGTGTCATTCTCCTGACCAGGGGAATTTTGGAGGAGCAGATTAAGGAACTTTTCTGCTTGCTTATTCTCTGACCAGAGCACTCCTCGTATCTTGCCAAAAATCTCACCATTTGTTCCATGGATAGTTTATTCCCCCTAAGAAACAACAGAGTGTCATCTGCAAAAAGAGGATGAGAAATAAGAAGAGCACCCCTCCCTGCATGAAAAGCCTTGATTCTGCCTTCACCATACAGCTTCATCAAGCCCCTGCTTAACACTTCCTTGGCCAAAATAAAGAGAGCAGGTGAGATTGGGCCACCTTGTCTCAACCCTCTAGACGAAGGAAAATTGCCAAATCTTTTCCCATTCAAGCAGACCGAGAAGAATTGGTTCTTTAGGAAGTTACCAATGATGGAAACAAATAAGTTTGAAAAACCAAAACAGCCCAAAGTTCTTTCCAAAAAGTCCCACACCAATGCGGTCATATGCCTTCATCATATCCAATTTAAGAATCACGTTGCCTGCTTCGACTTTTCTATCAAGCTCGCCCACCATTAACTGTGCTAAAGAAATACAATCCCCAATCCCTCTCCCTTTGACAAAACCGTGTTTTGCATTTGAGATCAGAGACGGAATGAGAGCCACAAGTCTATTGGATAGGACCTTCGTGAAGACTTTGTACAAAAAATTGCATAGGCTTATGGGCCTAAAGTCTGTGAAAGAGCAAGGCTTCATCACTTTTGGAATCAAACACAAGGAGTGTGGAGTTAACAGATCTTGGAATCACTCCCCCACTCAAGAAAAAATTAACCGCCTCCAAAAGGTCGCTTTTAACAATATCCCATGCTACTTGAAAGAATCTACCAGAAAAACCGCCAGCGCCAGGGACGCTTTCCACAGACATAGAAAAGACAACCTGTTTCACTTCGGTTAAGGTAGCAGTCATAGTCAAGATCTCGTTAGCCGCTGGTCCAACAAGTTTAGGAATAACCCCAAATAGCTCTTCATCAAGCCCATGGTCCTCTGACATGTACAGTTTAGCAAAAAAGGTTGTGGCCTGTTGAGAGATCTCCTCCTCAGAGTCACACCATTCACCATCTTCACCTTTAATCCTCATCAGTCTGTTCCTCACAGCCTTCCCTTTGGCCAAAGCATGAAAGAACTTGGTATTCCTCTCCCCGTGTAGTGCCCATTTTATGTTAGCTTTTTGTCTCCAGTACAATTCTTCCAACCTAAGTGTTTCCTCTAGATTCTTTCTTGCAGAGTAGTTATCATCCACAGAACGTTCTGCCTCTCGCAAAGCCAATTCCTGCATACTAATCTTTTCAAAAATGTTCCCAAACACCTCCTTGTTCCATTTTTTGATATTAAACTTTAGCATTTTTAGTTTGAGGAAGAAGTTCTCAGCGTTAGCAAACATTCTGTCCAGCCGTTGCCACATTCTCGAATTAGCCCCTCCGATTGAATACAGTCCCCAAATTCATCCATTGCCAACACAGATGGAGAGGCACCCCCCCATTCTTTCATTTGACCTCATCACAATGTTAAAATCCCCCATCACCAACCAGGGCATAGCAAAGGATGTAGAAATAACCTGTAAGTGTCCCCACAAGGGCCTCCTTAACAAGTAAGTCACAACAACCATACACCACCGTAACTAACACTGGATCAGCTCCCTGGTAGGAGACTGACACGGTCATAGCTTGTTCAAAGTGCAGCATGCTCTTAACTTCCAAGTTATCATTCCATAAAAGCCACATATTTTTCTCTGCCTTTGTGTTTGCCATAAAAGAATTTAACCCAACAGCAAGACCAAAATTCCTTAGTTTGGTATGGGACATTTTTGGTTCAATAACAGCGAGAAGACTCACCTTATTCATTACAATTAATTTCTTTAATTTGCTTCTTAGGCTCTCTTTTCCAGCACCCCTTACATCACCTTATTCATTACAATTAATTTCTTTAATTTGCTTCTTAGGCTCTCTTTTCCAGCACCCCTTACATTCCACATTAGGAAATTCATCATAAAGAATTTGTTTCATCATTACCTCTGGGACTATGCCCAGTACTGCAGTCGGAGTAGTTCACTGTTGTTTGGTTTAGCAAGATAATTCCTTGATCTTCATTTACAGTGGCATCTTCACTTGAATCAGCCCAATTTTTTGAGCTTTCTTGATCAGAGTAAAAGCCCCTGTCTGGTGGTTCTTTATCCCTCCTGAGTCCACTTTCGTCATCCACGGTGTAATTTTGTCTGCCTCTTAGCTCATACAGATGATCCACAAAGAAAGAAGATGAGGTAGGTGAATGAGATTGTTTATTTAACGAGCACATTACTGTACCTGCCATCTGTTGCACCTCTTTAGACCCTTCCGCCTGAGGTTGAGAAAATAGAGCATTATCCATACCGTTCTGTATACCCTTTTCACCTCTTTCGGGAGATACCTCCATTAATGACATTTCTTTCTCCTTTTCTGCGCCCTGTAACCTCTCCTCATCCGGTGTTACAGTAACCAAATCCTCCTTGTTTTTTGCCTCAGAACTTACAACAGTGCTTTTTTAAGTAATTGAATCCCCGTTATGATTTTCCGTTTCATCTTTTCCCTCCTCTGCGACATCCTTGCCCGAATGCTCTCCTCTTAACACATTAAATTTATTGGCATCCTCCTCTCCTCCTACATCTAAATTTATAGGATTCGAGAAACTGTGGTGCTTGGTGACCCTCTTTCACGGTTACTTTGGAATTCGCTTTTTTTGTGACTTTCTGCCATGCCTTATCTTTCCCCTTAAGGTCCTCGTCTTTTTTCGAGATGCCAGCTTTCTGCTTTCTTTCCTCCTTAGGGTTGTATGCCTGTTTGTCCACTTTGTTTTCCTCTTCCCTTTTGCCTTTACGACACTCGAGCATCCCATGGCCTTCTTTCAAACACCCAGCACAATACTTCACCAATTTTTCATAATTAATCTTTTGCCAACGCCCACTTGTTCCGCCAAAATTCAGCCAAAGACGAGATGGGTTATCAGCTAATAAATTAACTTCGACACATACGCTAGCCACACCTGGCCTAGATAATAGGAGGGTGGGTGAGTCAATTACAAGGATTCTCCCGATGGGACTCAAAATGTCCCGAAGGCTCTCCTTATCAAAGAGGTGAATTGGCAAACCTGGGAGAGAAATCCAAATAGGAACCACTGGTGGTTCAATCCCAGGCAGGAACTCCGAAAACCACTTGAAGAACCTGAACAAGAAGCCCTCGATGTGTGTTGCATCTGTGAAACCCGGGAAAATTTGAACTTTTTCTTAGAAAGGGTAAAATGGTAATTTGTCATCCTAATGCGTATTTAAAATACTCATGTTCTAGACCTCGGTTGAGGAAACGGAGTTCGCCGTTGGATTCGTATCGCAAAATCTAATCACCCTGTCAAATTTCGTCGAATTTCGAGATAGACGAATTTTTGCACGTTGTTCAAGGCAACTACGAGGCGAATGACATTTTAAAGGTCCCCAAAAATGAATTTTTTAATTTTTTTCTTAAAATCAAGTTAAAGTTCCAATACAATTAATTTTAACTAAATCTGAGGTATAACAAATCGTTTCGGAACGAAAAACGGACCCGGAAGTCTGAAATATGCGGTGCGATGTGGACCACACATTCAGGACTATAAATACCTACTTGACTTAAATATTTTGGAAAAAATATCTCATGTTCTTGACCCTTGGCCGGCCATAGAGAGAAGAGAATGAAAAGAGAGAAAAACAAGTAAGTTCTTCAAGCTTCAATCCAAGATTCTCGGAGTTTCGTCGGTCGGAATTCGTCGAGTCAAGAATCAAAGTTCATCTCCTCGACGAGGGTTACGTGTACGTACCAAGAAAAGTGGATTTCACCGAAGGTGCAAAGAAAAGACTTTGGAGGAATCAAAGGTTCTTGGGCTTGTTTTGGTGTTTTTTAGAAGTTCTACCACTTCTTACACGCTACAAGAGGTAGGGTTCGCTCCTACCTTGGTTTTATTCTTACCTTAAGTGGGCTTTTAGTGGCTGAAAATGGTTTATATGTGGGCTGTCCAAATAGACTGTTAAGGGGCTGAATTTTGGACTGTTAAGGGCTGAATTACGGACTGTTTTGGTGCTGAAATTGGGGCTGTTTTGTGCACTAATTAGGGGCTGTATACAGACTGTTTTTGGGGCTGTTTTAAGGCCTACTTTGGGGCTATTTTGGGGCCTATTTTGGGGCGGTTTAGTGGCTAAATTTTGGGCCACTATGGGCTGATTTTCTTGTGGGCTGAAATATGTGCTATATTTTGTCTTTTAAATTAAGTGTGTTTTTGACATAGATTATGTGATAACATGCTTGTCAATTGTGTTGAATATAAATGTTGACACATGCTAGTTGATGTTTTGACATTGTGATGAAATTATGGGGATTATTAGCATATGATATAAATCGCCATGGTAGACATTGATGTGTAAAAATTGTTCCTTTGGCATGCATTGCAATATGAACAAGGAATTGGCATCACATTCATGGGCATGAGTCATGAGTGTGGATGTGTGTATGCATGGTTAATTAAACACCATTCTTGGTGATTAATGGGTAGACTCGAAAAAGTTAGGTTGAAAATCTGAATGAGTCACATGGTTGCATGAAAGAAAAACTTGTGTCGGGTATAGCAAGAAGGGGTAGATTCCCCCCTCGGGTGCAAGACTCGGCGACTTGGTTATACATTCCCCTGTAGTGAAATTCCAAAAAAGTGTAGTATGGTGTACGGAACCGGCGGTATAAAATCCAAAATCCGTTGCCCAACAAGACACAAGATTTTGATTTATAAAGTACTCATATAATGAGTAACACCCATTAATGATTTGGTTTTATAATAAAACAACTTTTATTTCAAACGATCATTTGGTGAATTTTTTCGTCAATTGACGGATTCAGTATACCTTGGCATTGCATTGTGTCGTGGGAGTCGATGATGACTTGGGTTTAAGTGTATGAGTGAGTATCATCTCATTTCATGGCATGACATGATTACATTCCACATTTAATGCATATTCTTGTATGGAATGATTGTTAAATGTTGTTTGTTGCTTATATACACCACATATGCATCTAAGGTGGAGAGTAGCCTCTAGAGGGATTATTCTACTGGGCGTTAGCTCACCTTATACTGCAAAACATTTCAGGTGGGAGAGATAAATCGGTAGATGGCTCCAATTTGGACCCTCATGTTTGAAGAAAGCCGAATGTGGCTTTATTTTGTGATAATGTAAAACATTTGTGGAAATAATGTTTTGGACATGTAATATTTTGCAAATAATTGTAATAGAACTTATATAGACTATTGTTAAACTAACTTTGCATGTGTTGATATAAATATGGATAATTGGACCCGGTGTGGTCATTGTTGAATATTGGACCTCGGATGGGTCTTGTTATTATATGATTGCACAGGTTGAGTTTTTGGCAGAGCTTCCCGTACAAAGGAGACTCTGCCCGAATTTCATAAAAAATTATGGTTTCCAGTAAATGGCGCATAATGGCGTGATATCAAATTACTCGGTATCCACGGGTTGATGGGGAATCAACGGACCCCCAGATTTTGGGGTGTCACAGCATCCTCATTGTAATCAATGCGTGTCTTGGATCCAAGACCCCGACAGTGAAGTTGCCTTTCAGGAGCCATCTGGTAGTGATGAATTCCCTGATAACACCAACTGATGGTTAACCATATGCGCATTTTCCTATTAAGGTCTGGTGGAACTTCTTTGAGAGAGTTTGAGTTTCCTCAGAAGACCAATACATCCCAGGTTCCCCGTTATTGAAAACCACCCGTTTGGCTGGCCTAAAATAGGATGCTGAAGGCATTGGAGAGGAGACCCCTTCAATCGGCTGTGGAGACTGTGTATCCGAAGAGCTCGAAGGAGCCGAAGGAAAAATGAACACCAAAGGAGGCGAAGTTGATGGGGTTTTTTTTGAAAAGGGGAGCAAAATTTTTTGTAATATCAGATCCGGGTTGGAGATTGGGATTTGTGGGGAGGATACCAGAGGAGTTTGCGATTACCTGTTGCGATCCTGAAGCATTTGCACCATCTGCCCTAACTCGGACAATTGCACCGATTGTGGAAGGATTTTTGCAATATCTGTTGTAGATTGTAGATTCGGGTTTGTAGGAGGCATACAAGAGTTCTTTGTGACATCTTGCAACGTTGTTGAAGCTTTTGCCCCATTCTGAACAGTATCGGTAAAGTGTGCCGATGTTGACTGGGTTAAAGGATTTAAAGAAATCTTGGGGGTTGTGATGGAAATAAGGGAAACATCCGGTGGCTTAGGAGGGATTTGACTCTGATTTTGATCAGCAGTCATAATAAATGCGCAGAACAAAGCATAAAGATCAAGAATGCAAGAAAAAGCAAAGAAAACCTAGAGAGTGGTGAGAGCTTCTCTCACTAGAAAAACAATAACTGCCCTTGACTAAACCTAAACCCTAAATTCTAAACCCTAAAACCCTAAACTCTAAACACTAAACCCAAAATGACACAAAACCTAATGCAATACTAATAATGTCCAAACTATAGACAACCGGTGCCTGAAGATACCATCTAACATAAAAAAAAGTAGTTGATTTGGAACATTTCTCCTTCCATTGCTTGAATAAGAGAAATTGAATTCAATATGGGTTTTGCTAATTTTATAAAAAATTCTAACGGAATTTCCTCTAAAAATAGGAGTCCAAATAAATATCAACTTGTCACAAAATTTATATATCTCATAATCATACCTAAACCAATTACTGAACTCATCGTAGTAGCAATCATTGTATAGTCTTGTCTAAACACGGCTATCTACAAATTACCACAACATCATAGTGATATTAACCATTAAAAATGATAAATAATGACCTTTTGGGAAAAAACAATGATAAATAATCGTAATTATACAATACACTTGTAGGTAGTAGCAAAATTGTAGTGATTGCTACTATCAATGTTTATTCTTTAACCTAGGCACACCTCATGGTAGCTGTAACACCCCGCATTTTCTTTTATATATGTATATAGATATATAGTAAATAATTGTTGTAAAAATTGGGGATATGTGTAGTGATGTGTGTTTGAATTTGGTAGAATGAAAAAGGGATAAACAGTGCACTGGCTGTAACATCAAGCTCGATTTCGACGTTGATGCAGTCCATATCTCTCAAAACTTAAAACATGAAATTTGTAGATCTCTCTCTTAGGATTCCATATCACCTTGAATCATCTCAATCGGAACTAGGAGGAAGGAGTTATGTCCATATTACGAAGTAGTGTCTACACTGTCCAAAAATCTGTCCGGCAGACTACCTTTCGCTAATTTCATCATAACTCTTTATTGGAAAGTCCGAATTGTGCACCGTTATTTTTGTTAGAACCCTAACTCGTATATCTTTCCAACCATATAGGTTACACCTCCTAGAAATACCTGAGTCAAATCAGTTTATTCTATGAAGTTGACCAAAAATCTGCACTATGGTGCTCCTTGGATAGTAAAGGGTTGTGCTTTCTTATTAGACCTTGAAGGTGTAAAACCCCATATGTTTACATTAATATATTAAGGTACTTGTTTAGTGATTCTTCTATATGTAATGACTTAAGAATAAACCATATATATATATTAAAATCGTAAGGATATCACCTATAGTAGTTCGAAGGAATAAAATAGAAATTTTAATGTTCCAAGTGTGAATTTATTTTAGTTTTGAAATAAATCATAAAAAGCAATGTTTTTAGGTTAAAATAACATTAAAAATGAATCCGGAACGTCAAAAAACCTTAGGGTAGTCGTATGGATCAAATTGGAGATTTTTAGTGGCAAAACTGTAATTTTGGAAAAAAAAACTCAAAATTCAGCCCATGAACAGTGATTGTCGCGGACTGCTGTGTTTAAAACACAGAAACCAGCCCATTTCCTTCCATTTTTTCTCACATCTCTCACCCCCAAACCCCTTAGCACCCTTGGGGAAGATAGAGGAAAGGAGGAAAGGGAGAAAGGAGGTCATTAGAGCTTGGGTTTGTGGTTTGAAACTTTGATTCAAGGTAGGGGTTATTTCTTCCATGCTTGTCCATTGAGGCTAAGGCTAAAATATATATATGTTTTGATTCATACTTGTATGTATTTGCTAGGAATTCCTTGTTTCTTGGTTTTCTTGCAATTATGGCATGTCTTAAACAAAGTTAGGATTGATTACCCATGAAACTTCTTTTATAGCTTTAAAACCCTAGTTTTTGGGGAAATATGGAATTCTCTTTCTACATTTGCTCAAGCTTGGTTTTGAGAACTTTAGTGCTTTGAGTGAGTAATGAAAATGATGTGGTGGTGATCTCTTGTATTTTTCTTAATTGGTTATTTGGATTGTCGCATGATAAAATTTGGGGATTTTGATAATGGTTGCTTTTTGAGGGCAATGTGTGGATTTTATCTTATATGTGATTGTTAGTATGAAAAGAGGATAATTATGAACCGAGGTTACTCGTAAGTATGCGGTTAAGTGTGGAATACTTGAAGGGGGTAGAGGTTACTTGTAAATATGCGGTTATGTGTGGGAGACTTCAAGGGGGGGTAGAGGTTACTTGTAAGTATGCTACCTACCAAAAGAGGATATTTATGAACCGAGGTTACTTGTAAGTATGCGGTTATGTGTGGGAGACTTCAAGGGGGGTAGAGGTTACTTGTAAGTATGCTACCTACCAAAAGAGGATATTTATGGACCAAGGTTACTTCTAAGTATGCGGCTATGTGTTGGATACTTGAGGGGGGTGGAGGTTACTTGTAAGTATGCTACCTACCTAAAAGGACATCTAATGACCGTGGTTACTTGTAAGTATGCGGTTATGGGAAACAAAGACTTGAAGGGGGTGGAGTTTACTTTTAAGTATGCCACCTGCCAAAGGAAATATAATAATCGATGGTGGAATAAGCGTTCCTTTTTGTAGTATGGTGTTACTATTGCATTTCCCACAAGAGCTTGTGGAGGTATGGGACTCTACAAGAACTTGTTGGAAATGGTTATGGTTGCTCATTGTGACTTGGGTTTACTGTTCATTTAAATTATTGCGAATGTTTAAACTTGAGATCTGTTTCAAATGTCACGGTTTTACTTCAAATGTTATATGATATTTTGGAAAATAAGACCGAACTGTTTTACTTGTTTTCTAAACCTTGTATGAGTATGGAAGGAATGTTGCTACAGAGCTTAATGCTCATCCCCTACAGATAATATCTTTTCAGATTTCGTCTATGAGGAGGAGTTACAAGTAGATGAACCAGTGCATGGGGAAGCTCCCCTAGAGGGGAACGGGGATCCTGAACTGGATGCCTAGAGTTATATTTCTTTTGTACTAGACTAGAGAGTTTATTTTGAAATCATGTAAAGTCTAGTATTTTGTTATTTCACTGCAAGTGTAATTTAATTCTTTTGGGAATATATTTGTCATACTTGGCCTATTCTTTTGGGATGGCATTGTGGATATGACATATGATGAATGAAGGTTTATTTTATGATGGATAAATAGACCCGGTGTGGTCAATAGTTATGCATATGTGGACCCGGTGTGGTCAATTGTAATTTAATTGTACAGGTTGTGTTTTGGGTAAAGCTCCCCGTACAAAGGAGACTCTGCCCAAATTTTGTTAAAATATGAATGGTTGATGAATGAACTTTCGTTGTGATGAATTTACGTAATACTCTCATGGTGTGAATGGTTTTTAGAATGTAATGTCACCCAAGGGGGTTTTTAGGGCGTTACAGTAGCCATCCTCTTGCCCCATCAACATGTCACAACAAACAATACAGATCCAAATTTTACCTAGACCAATAAAAAAAACTGTAATTTGGTGATTAATTATTAAAAAAAAGGAAATAGTACCATAGAATTTCAATGCTAGTAATTTGGTAAATGCATGCTTAAAGAAAACACGGCCTAAATTAGTTACTGCACTCACCATCACTGTGAAACCCGGGAAAAATTTTAACTTTTTCTGAAAAAAAAATGGCAAAATGGTAATTTGCCATTATAGTGTGGGTTAAAAAAAACTGGTATTTTTATAGACCTCGGATGATGAAACGGACCTCATCGTTGGATTCGTCTCACCAAATCTAGTTACCCAGACAAATTTCGTCGAATTTTGAGATAGTCAGATTTTTTACGTTTTTCGAGGTGACGGGTGTTCGATGACCCCTAAAAACGAAATTTTTATAAAAATTTAAAAATTTGAAAAATATTTTAAATAAATTTCATATAAAATATTTTGAGCTTAAATCGGTACGAAATTTAATCGTTTCGGGATGAAAACGGACTCGGACAAAGGACGACACTTGGCGCGACGAGGGCCAAGTGTTTAGAAAATATAAAAGTGGGTTGGCCGGCTGGATCAGATCCAAGAGCAAAGAAGAAAAAAATATAATTCTTCAAGCTTTTTTTCGCCGATTCCGGAGTTCTGTCGGTCGGAATTCGTCGGGCCAAGAATTAAAGTCGATCTACGCGACGAGAGCTACGCGTGGGTACCAAAAACAAAGATTTTCACCGAAGATTCAAAGGGAGGATTTTGGAGAAATCTAAGGTTTGGACTTCAATCTTGTTCTTGAGGCTTCCTTCAAATTCTTTACGCTTCAAGATGTAGGGTTCCTCATACTCGGACCTATTTCTAACCTAAGGTGTCCATAGGGTTCATGTGGGCTGTTTTGGGTATTTCTAATATTTTTCCATTATGATTGGTGCTATGGAAATGGGTAGGATCAATTCTAGTGTGAATTGGTAGTTAGAAAGTGCTAGTTTGTGATTTCTTGAATGTTTAGATAATTGGTTATATAAAAATCATATATTCTGATTTTTATTTTGTTTGAATGATCCATATAAAATCTTGGCTTGATTTTGGTATATGGAAGTATTTATGTAATCCCTTGGAAATTGGGATCATGTGGGCATGCTTTGTGTTTTATATTATGCCTTGTGAATTAAATGTAATATTAGCATGTATTATGTGTTATCATGTTGATGGAGTGTTGATATATGCTCTTGGATATATTGAACTTGAAATGGTTATGTGATTATATGCAAATGATATTAATTGTCATGGTATACAATGATATTTAAAAATTGTCATTTGGCATGCATTGCAATATGGACATGGAATTAACATCACATTCATGGGCTACATGCATGAGTGTGGGTGTAGGGTTGCATGGGGTGATCAACACCAACATTGGTACTTGATGGTAGGCTCGGGAAAGTGGGATGGAACGTCCTACGGAGTCGCACGGTGACATGCATAAGAAAACTTGTGTCGGGTATAGCAAGTAGGGCTAGACACTCCCTCGGGTGAAA